GGCTTGCGCATGGCAGGCAAGCTCTCAACCAACTGACCTACAACCATAGCTCCTACATATCTCAGTATAGCTACACACACACACACGCATATATATACACACATACATATATATACGCATACACACATACATACACATACACACATATATGCATATATACACATATACACAAATATATACACATACATATACGTACATATATACACACATGCATATATACACACATCCACACATATAAATACACATACACACAATACACTCAGTTAAACTCCGTGGTTTACATACATCACATCACTTTTTATTGGCCCCTTCACTGGTGTATCTGTTAAGTGACACCCAGACTGATTCCACAACGTGGCTACGGTGACACGCACCATCATCGTGACGAGTGAGCAGGCATCTCCGTGGAATGCTGACTTAAGTCCCTTTGGTGTATTCCCAGGTCACGTGGCAGTGCCTCGGTCCTGATTTCCATAGAGGCCCCACTAGTACATCCACACCCCCAGTGTGTCTGTCCCCACCCTCGCTAGCGTTTGTCAATGTTTCCCCCAGAGTCATTTCAACAGGAGTGCCGTGGAATCCCAGGGAAGTTTTGATTTGCATTTTTGTGGTAACAAGAGGGTGTTGGATATTTGCCCATGACCTCTGGACCCCATTTCTCGAGCAGTCTTTTAACTCTTTCAAAGAATACTTGCTGGGGCTGGAGAGATGGCTCAGTGGTTAAGAGCATTGCCTGATTCTTCCAAAGGTTCTGAGTTCAATTCCCAGCAACCACATGGTGGCTCACAACCATCTGTAATGAGGTCTGGTGCCCTCTTCTGGCCTGCAGACATACACACAGACAGAATATTGTATACATAATAAATAAATAAATATTTTTAAAAAAAAGAATACTTGCACAGCGAACCACTGGGGACGGCTCTGTTCCCTTTAGAAAAGGGTGTATTTCAGCAGCAGCAACAAACACTTACACTACAAATTCAGTTTTCATTAGGGGTGGTTTATTTTGTTATTTAGAACTCTTTGAGACAGGGTTTCTCTGTGTAGTCCTGGCTGCCCTGGAACTCACTCTGTAAACCAGGCTGGCCTCACACTCACAGAGTAAACTCAATCTGTACATCAGAGTGGCCTCAAACTCACCTGCCTCGGCCTCCCGAGTACTGGGATTAAAGGCATGAATCACCATGCCCAGCTAATTTAGAACTCTTTACTGTTTACTGTGGTTCAAGATTAGTGCTTAGGGTCTCAGAACTTGTTGTTCTCTGTCTATCTGTGTGTGCATGTGTGCATGCTTGCATGCGTGTATGCGTGTGAGTGTTGGGCAGGAATATGTTGTACTCTGTTAAATGGACCTTCTTTGTGTGTGTATGTTTGTGTTTGTTTACTTTTTCCTGGTGTAGTAATCTTGGTGGGTGGGGAGGAAAAGACAGAAATTAAAAGAATACCCTAAAAGGTGGAAGGGCAATACTGACTGTTCCTGCAGAAGACCTGGGTCCAGTTCCAAGCACCCACATGGTGGTTCACAACCAACCATTTGTAACTTTGGTCCCAGAGCATCTGATGACTTCTGTCCTCAGTGGCTACCAGGCACACATAGACATATGCATGCAAGACAATTAAACACATTACATAGATAAATCTTAACAAATTAAAAATTCCTCCCAAAATGGATCAGTGAGTTGTTCCTGCCTTCCCTTCATAGTTTGAGTAATATAAATTTGAATGAATATTATGGTCAGGATGAAGTATGGAGCATAAACATACAGCACACATGTCAACACTACTTCTAGGGGAAGCAGAGGTTAGTCTGCTCGGCAGGTGTATGCTCCCTTCCTCTGCCCATGCTTACCAGAGGGTTCTCTCCAAAGGGTTTTCTCATAACTCTGGAAATTACTACGCAGCATGCCACAGCTTAAGGATGTCTCAGCTTTTATTGTAAACATTCCAATCACCCCAAGTGCAAGGAGGGACCCCTGTGTGCTGCTGTCTTCGGTGGAGGAATCGGTGCAATGAGGTCCTGCCTAGGACCCTTTCCAGGCAGGTGCTGAACTAAGCACCAAGGCTCTCTTGCTTTGGGCCTGATCTCAGCCAGTCTCTCACATCCCTGACTCCCGGTGGCCGCGTCAGCATCACACAGCATCCCAATGGCCCAGAAGTGTCTGCGACAGGACTTTCAGATGCTCCCGTGGTTATTTTTCCTGTCTGTCTAAGGCCTGTTATCTGTCGTTACTCCAGCTTCCTTCAGCCTTTTCACAGGTTGCCATCGCAACCGATTCCCTTTCCTTTCTGGTTTGTTTCGGTGTGTGGTTTTCTCGTTGTTGCTTGTTTTGGAGACACAATCTCTTGTAGCCTAGGCTGGCCTCGGATCCCTGATATAACTGAGAACGATATTAAACTGACCCTCTCGCCCCCACCTCTCAAGGGTGGGGGTTGTAGGCCTGTGCCATCAGACCTGGCTCCTTCTGCCATTTGTTGTTTTGAGGCAGGGTCTTCGCTCTGTAGCCTAGGTCCACCTCAAATTCATGATCGTCTTTCCTCTGTGTCCCAAGTGCTAGGGTTATGGGTGTGAGCCCCTAGCCTGTTTTCTTTGTCTCTGTGTATATTGATGGTGTGTGTGTGTGTTGTGAGTGTGGACGTGTGTGTGTGTGCCTGTATGTGTAGCCCAGAGGTTGGTATCATGTCTCCTCAGCTGCTCCCATGTTATTATTTATTTATATAAAGGACGTCTTAATAACCGGGAGTCTGCCAGTTTGCCTAGGCGGGCTGGCTTTCCATGGACTAGGACTGTGGGTTTGTGCCGCTTGCCCGGCTTTTGTGTGGGTGTTAGGGAATCCACGCTGAGCCACCTCCCCAACCCCCACCCCCACCTGGCATTGCTTGCTCTCTATGGCTCATAGGTGTATGTGTCTGCTTTCTGTCACTGTCTGTGATAACCCGAGGTGACCATCTTCTGGAGAGGGAAGGTTGATTTAGAGTATGGTTTCAGGTTGTCATCTGTTGGCGCTTTTGCTTTGTGCTGGTGATGAGGCCGCACACATTGCCGGAAGTGCACAGAGAAGTAAAATCAGGCATGTCACAGTTGCTGGAAGGCAGGAGGGGACAAGAAGGGCTCAGGGTCCTGTGGTCCCCTTCCATGGCAGGATGCATCCCCACCAGGCCCTGGGAATCCTGGTACCAGTCTGGGGGCGGGCGTGGATCTAGATCTCAACCATGACCTATATTGATGCTAAAAGGAGCTGGTTAAAAGGAGTCGTCTGATCTGCTGACGAAGTGCTTGCTACGGTCCATAGACGTGGTGGCAGGAATTAGGTACAGTCGTCCCTGCAGACTGTGGGTAAGACTTGAAGTCACCTCATCTTAAGGACAAAGCTCTAGGAGTTCGGGGGTTCCTTTGTATGTAGAATCTCACATACACGCACACACACACACACACACACACAGAGAGAGAGAGAGAGAGAGAGAGAGAGAGAGAGAGAGAGAGAGAGAGAGAGAGAGAGAGAGAGGAACAACTGGAAGCAGACGAGCCACAGAGCTCTTCTGTGAGGTGACCTGTGGACCTCGACTGCGCCATGGCTCGTGGTGGAAACACAGGTGGGTTCACAGAAGCTGGAACACAAAGAGCGGGGTGAGACCGGATCCAGTCGGCTTTGTGTGATTCGACAGAGAAACCCATTGCCTGGACACCAAGGATTGCATTTTGTTGCTTGAGAAGGTAGAGGGAGGCCTTTCACCCATGTGAGACATGTACTCCAGCTGGCCTGTGGTGCTCCGGCTTCCACTGGCCAGGGCACACCTGGTGTGCTAAGAAAGCGGGACCACGGCCTCCCTGGGGACTTGGTAGGGATGGCTCTGGTGAGTGGAGGGACAGCCAGCTGCGGTGAGGACAGAAAGAATGCCTTTGGAAATTAAACTTGGTAATGAAAACATTCTTCGGAGGGCAGAGCCCCAGGTGCACTGTAAACCAGCCGAGGCCATAATGGAAACACAAAGGTGTCTTCAGAAGCAGCGAACTGGTTCTTTTTTTCCGCACTAAGCCTGAAACCCTAGCACACGTTCATATAAAGACAGGATTGGGTGCATGAAGGTACCTGTTTCCATCAGTCAGCGAGCTCTTCGTAGCCAAGCTGGTTGAGGCTTCAGGTTTTAGGGTGATGATCACACTTTCATCTAGCAAATGCCACCCTAATCTGCCAAGAGCCCCTGGTGGCTTTGGGGTCAGCTGAGGAGAGGAGAACCTTCCAGTCTCAAAACTTGGTAGGGGGAGAAATTTTCTCATAATTCACGTTTAATAAAGCGGTACAGGGCACTGCTTTCAAAATACTCATTGAAGTCCCAACAGAGCACGTGGCTTTTGGGTTCAAACCTGAAATGTTCTGCATCGCTAGAGCTCTTAGCTGGCAGGGTTTGTCTTCAGAGTTGAGTAAGAAATTACTCTATGATCGATGTAAGAATTATCCTGGCCTTTCATACAGGGACTCACTTCTGGACTCAGCAAAGAAGTCGGTCCTGGGGCTGGGGAAACTTCAACCCCATCTAAAAATCCAGGTTTGGTGGGCATAGTTGTAATCCCAGCTCTGGGAGAGTGGAGACAGGAGGCTATTCAGGATTCACTAACCAGCCAGTCTGTGTTACCAGTGAATCCCAGGTACCAGAAAGAGATCTTTCCTAAAATGCCAAGGTGGCTGGCTCCTGAGGTAGGGCATCCATGGCTGACCTGTGGTCTCTGTGCCCAGGTGCTGTTATATATATATATATATATGATATATATATGTACATATACCTGCTCCTAGTTAGGCCTGTCCTCATCCCTTCACCTGGCACAAGTGGAACCATATGCAGTTCGGAGAGCTCCACCTGATGCTTCACATAGGTGACTGTATCAGGTGGGGAAGAACCTTGGATCCTTGTAGGTTGGCCCATCTCAGAGTTCCGGTGTTGCAGGGGTGGGAGGCCTGTATGATCTTGGACCCACAACTGATGCGATTTTACCCTTTATCTAGACACACTACTTCGGCCTTTGGTTTCTCAGCAAGAGCCAGCAGGCGAGATGGGTGGAGCTGGAGAAGCCGCTGAAGAAGCATCTGGACAAATTCGCTAACGAGCCTCTGCTCTTCTTCGGAGTCATGTTCTATGTGCCAAATGTGTCGTGGCTTCAGCAGGAGGCCACAAGGTAGGTGTCATCTCCCTCAAGTTCCCCGGAAGGGTGTGGATCACTGAAAGGCTTCCGGTGAAGTGGGGGCACGCTGGCTGCTTTAGTTGCGTGGGGAGGCAGAGAGGGCGGGGGGGGGGGGGGGGGGGGGGAGAGGGGGCGGGGGGGGGGGGGAGCGGCTGGAGGTTGCCTGCCAGTTACCATGTGGTTTGACCCATGTGGCTAGTGCCAGCCCTGGTACAACAGGTAGAATGTTGTGTATAACAGCACAGAAGTATTTGCTGGGGATGGTAAGTGAAATAGGTAGGCTAGAATTTAATAAAAGCCAACCCTCTCATTCTGTTTTCTCCACCCCATCCGCCTCCCCAAACACCACTGGGCTTTGCACCTGAGGCCTAAGATGGTTCTAAAGATCGAATCAAGTTGAGGAGAAAAATGTCGCGAGGGCAAGAGTTTTGGTTATGTCAACAGCATAGCGGAGCCTGGGGGTGGCCATGCTATCTTATGTCCTTGTCGGAACTGCAGATGTTAAAGTTCAGGCAAGACAAGCCCATGCTGTTGGTGCTAGGATGACGTACATGGGGCTGTCTGTGTGCACAATGGATATAGAGACGTCTGTGCCTCGGAATCACCTGCCCGGTGACATTTCTGGAGGGAGCCAGAAGCCCAGGAATGCTTTCTGTTTTTGTTTCTAAAATCTGTTGCTTCGATTTGGGCGTTGGGAATCCTGGAGAAGCTAAAGCAGTGACGAGCTTGGAGGATGGCAGAGTGTTCCAGTGTTTCTCACTGTGTGGGTTTCAGGACTGTAAATTTCTCTAATGACAACACGGTTGAAGTTTCTATGTTTCCTGCTCCTCCCCTTCTTCCTCCTGCCCCTCCTCCTCATGAAAAGCTGTTGCTGGTAGTGGCTCGGTGGGTAAACGCCTGCCCTCCAGACATGGCGATCTCAGTCGGCAGCCCCAGATCCTGTGTAAAACGTGGGTGTGGCTCGGTGGGTAAACGCCTGCCCTCCAGACACAGAGATCTCAGTCGGCAGCCCCAGATCCTGTGTAAAACGTGGGGGTAGCAGCATGGACCTCTAACTCCAGGGCAGAAGAGAAGGGTCAGGCAGGGGCGTCTTTTGGAGGTTAATTTGAGATTGACCCCCATCTCACCCCCTGGAGCAAATCTCTTCATGATGGGGGACTCCTGACAAGAGACTGGTGACACTGGAGCAACAAATGGGCGAGTCAGGCCCAAGGTTAAGGGGACAACTGAGTGAAAACATAAAAGGTGTCCAAAGGAGAAGGGCTGTGAGGTGGCTCTGGTTCCACAGAAGCACCAGGACCGGTGCTTAGTCGGCAGCAGTGGTTCCTAGTGCTGGAGAGGGGAAGACAGAAGAGGCCCTGGGGTTTGCTGCTCAGCCAGCCTAGCTGGGTTTGTGCGGTCCAGGGCCTGTGAGAGAGCCTGTCTGAGACTTAAGGCGGAGATCGGCTGAGCAGAGATACCCAGCGTCTACACACACACACACACACACACACACACACACACACACACACACACAGTATATCAAAAGGAGAATACATGGAGGTACAAAATCAAAGGAGAGAAGAAATGACCTGATATGATTCTAAACACAAGCTGGCAACAGCTAGGTTCCTCCTAGACAGATGGGGATGAGTCATGAAACCATAGGAGCTAAAGAGATTAAGGAGCACGGAGCTCTCAGCCGCATTCCCAGCTGGAAGCTGTGTTCCGTGAGTCTTGAGAATGTTCACTCCTCCTTGGGTAGATGTGACTCCTGCCTGGACCACCACGGTTCTTTGCTTCTCTCCCATCTCGGCCGGGTTCCCCCCAGCAGGGGCTCCTGCCCGCCAGGCATCTTCCCCTTCTTATATCCTCCTAAATCAAAGGGAAAATATTTTGCAGCAGGCTTTCATAGCAACGGATTCACTGTAAACACATGGTTTTCATACTTTGCTGGGCTCGGAAGGTGAGAAGATGGTTTCTAAGTGAGCGGAGAAGCCCTTTAATTGGCTACTTAATGATTGCAAGGAAGGGCTGCAGAGCTGCTGGCTTCTCACACCCTGTGGCAAGCGTGGAATTGATGTCCAGGCCTTTTCCAAATCTTCAAGTCAGGAAGGCCCTCTTTAGGGCTTCAGTCCTAAGAATACTTTTAAAGGAAAAGGACTAGGGGGCTAGGGGGCTCAGTTGGCAGAGTTCCTCCACACAAGCGTGAGGACCTGAGTTCAATTCCCAGCATCCATGTAAAATGCAGGACAAGGCATGTGCTACATTCATCCCCAGGGTTAGGGGCGGGGAGGCAGGTAGGTTCTTGGAGCTCTCGGGCCGGCCAGCCTAGCTGAAATGGCAAGATACACAGACAGACAGACAGACAGACAGACAGACCCAGGAACACGAAACCAAGGATAAATAATTTTTGAAGAGTGAATCTAAGACTCACGGTGCATGCCTGATTTCTTTTTTTTTTTAAATATTTTTTATGGTTTATTTAACTTTATTTTATGTGCACTGGTGTGAAGGTGTCAGATTCCCTGCAACTGGATCTTTAGACAGTTGTGAGCTGCCATGTGGGTGCTGGGAATTGAACCCCGGTCCTCTGAAAGAGCAGTCAGTGCTCTTAACCACTGAGCCATCTCTCCAGCCCCGCATGCCTGATTTCTTAAATGCATAATTAATTGTCAGGTTTTCCTTTTCCCTGGGATGCGTGTGTCTTGTATTGCTCACTGATGTGTGGGGGTGCTGGGCTAGTCAAAGGAACTCATTCACCCCAGTGAGGTCAGGTGGCACAGCCTCCCTTGCCAGGATGCTATGGTAGCTGACCTTCTGGGGTGAGACTTTCCGATCTTAGTGGTCAACACGCTACAGAGTTTACATAGCGTTACTACAGTTGTAGCCAGGCCAGTCCCTCTTCTGCCAAAGACAGTCTTAGGACCCTGTGGGAGCGGTGAGGAGATGTAGGGCCGTGGGAGCGATGCTGCTGCTGTGCCCCAGAGTACCCTCTCCTCAAAATCGCATCCCCTCTGCCCACCTCCTCTAATTCTAACTGGGAGGCTGTGCCCTTGTCTCCAGGTAACACTGCCCAGCAACTAGGAACAGGATTTTTGACATGCTTACTCTCTACATGGGCTTCCTTCATTGGAAGTCCTTCCTGTTTGGGAACGAGAAGTTATTTCTCAACCAACTAGGAATAAGTGCCCACATTTAGGGCCTGTGGTCTTTATGTGCCAAAAAGAGGTAGTGACCTTTTTCTTTACTTTTCCTTTTTTTTTTTTTTTCGAGACAGGGTTTCTCTCTACCTTTGAAGCCTGTCCTAGAACTAGCTCTTGTAGACCAGGCTGGCCTCGAACTCACAAAGATCCGCCTGCCTCTGCCTCCCGAGTGCTGGGATTAAAGGCGTGCGCCACCACTGCCCGGCCCTTTTTCTTTCTGTATGTGTGACAAAGAAATCAGGTTGTTACATTTCTAGACTACGCTGTGGCCCTTTCCTTCCAGTGTTACCTTCAGATCTAGCACACATTGAGGGGAAAGCCAGGTCAGGCCAAATCCTGTCTTCACATGAGACAAGATGGTGCTTTTAGTTGTATCTATGAGTGTTCATGCGTGCTCAGTGTATCACTTCTGTGCCGTCTTCTGAGTCAGTCAAGATAGCATGGGTGCCATTTCTTAGTTCCATCTACCTTTTATTTCCTCATGTATATGTGTATGTATGTATGTGTGTGGGGCGCTCATGCATATGTACATGTATGCGTGTGTACATGCCTATGAAAGCTCAAAGTTGATGTGATGCATTTGCCTCTGTTGCTCCCTACTTTATCCGTTGAAGCTGGATTCTCTCAGCTGAACCCTGAGGTCAATTTGTCTCGTCAGCCTAGCTAGTTTGCTCCACTCTATGGTATGTCTAGTTGGCCTAGCTAGCTTGCTGCACTCTATGGTATGTCTAGTCGGCCTAGCTAGCTTGCTGCACTCGATGATATGTCTAGTCGGCCTAGCTAGCTTGCTCCATGGACCCAGCTCCACCTTCTAAGCTCTGGAATTACAGGTAGGCTCCTCCATACATACACTTGGCATTTATATGAGGGCGGGGATCAAACTTTGGTCCTCACCTATGGTACATTTACTACTGAGCACTCTCCCTAGCGCCCAATGTTCTTTTTATTTTGAAACAGGGTTTATTGACCTAGAATTTAACAGTTAGCCCCAGGAGTCGGCCTCTTCCGTAGTGTGTGCCCTTGCACCTGGGTTGTTTCCGTGGACGCTGAGGACTCAATTTAGGCCTCTTGCTTTTACCAGCTTCTTCCTTCCTTGGTTGGAAACACTTGTGCTCTCCCCTTAGATTTTGCATTCTCTTGTGTGTGCAACTGTCCGAGTCTACAGCCTGAGTGTACAGAGTGTCTCTTCTAGAAGCTTCATTAGGGCTATGATTCCATGTTCCTTTACACTTTGTTTTTGTTCCCCAGTTCTTTTGCTTTTTTGTACAATGCCATCTGATGAAGACTTTTAAAAAGACTTAAGTTTAATTATGTGTATGAGCGTGGATATGTGCCCACGAATGCAGGTGCCCACAGAGGCGACAAGAGGTGTCTCCCCTCCTGGAGCTGGAGTTCACAGGTGGATGTGAGCACCCAGCCTGGGTGCTAGGAACAGAACTCAGGTACTTGGAAGAGTAGCAAGTGCTCCTAATTGCTGAGCCATCTCTCCAGTCCTGCTGGGGTTTTAAAGTTTGTCATTGGCTTGGAAGTAGACTCCTTCAAGGAGGACAAGCATTCTTTGTCACATCCCCTGCCCTGCCCCACTGTGGATGGGCACGTCTCTCTTGGTTCTTGAGCACAGCATTGTTTCTGCCAGACACTTTCAAGAAGTAGCTGATGCTAGAGCCCAGTCTCTCACTCTGTGCAATCTGTCTTGAGACCAGGGAAGAAGATGGCTTTCTTTAAGAAGTAGTGACCTGGGGGCGGGGTTGCTTGCCGAGAAAGTTGGACTCTTCATCAGATGGTGGTTGCCGATTACATCCCATTCAT